TGGAAGTGGAGGCAAAATGTCTTTTTTTTTGCCCCCCCCCCCCTGTATACACTGCCTATAATGTCTCAGTCGCCAGATCCTGCTGTGTTTTTGGACAAAAACACATCACGCCTACGTGTTTACATTTATTACATTTTACAAATACTTAAAGGAATCTTCCGCGGAAAAAGCTCCGCCTCCATTACCCAGAAAAACGATACCTTAGGCCCCTAGCCTCATGAGCATAGCAAAAAGAACGGAACATAAGCGTTAGTTTCGATAATACTAATCCTACACACAAGACAAAATGATCACTCTTTCCGTGGAAGATTCCTTTAAGGTATCGTTTTCTGTGGTAATGAGGGCGGAGCTTTTTCCGTGGAAGATTCCTTTAAGCTAAGGGAAAATGTGTCAGGGTGTGATGCGTGGACGCAAAACCCATGAAAGCATTATAAAATGAAAATTGCTTGAAAAAAGCGAGGTAAGCAAACCAGCCCTTTTGGCGTTTCTGCTGGGGCCGTATGCTGAATGTTGGGGAGGGGATGGGGTCCCCGAGGTCGACGGACTACTTCAACTCGGTCGGTACGGTAGGAGAGTGATGACGCAAGTGGTGCAGCTGGTCCAGCAGCTCCGCCAGAAGGGCTGGTTTGCTCACCCCAGGACTAAGCCTTGGAGAGGGGACGGACCCGTCCTCTCTTTAAGGCTTAGTTCTGAGGTAAGCACCAAATTGTGGCGGTTTTAAGGACCGAGTTGAAGTGGTCCGTCGACCGTCGGGGACCCCATCCCCTCCCCAACATTCAGCATACGGCCCCAGCAGAACGCCAAAAGGGCTGGTTTGCTTACTTCAAAAGAAGCGATTACAACAAGGAAGGGCCGCATCGGGAGAGTACATATATGCGCCACACGAAACATCACTTGGCTGCCAAGGAAGTGACGTGTGGCTTCACGACCAAAGGTGCTCTGGTTTCTGAGTAGAACTTGCCTATGTGATGGCTTATCAACACTATGCTTATTGGCATGATGGCGGCTATCGGGGTTAACACGTCCAACAACTTTCTTTGTCGCCGCTCATCCATGGTCGAAAATGAACGGGCAATAAGGGGGTACTTTTGCGTATTCTTGACGGATTTCTCTGCTTTTTTCGCCACTGGCGTACCATTTAGTACCCCCATGTCCCCTTTAAACCCCTCCAGAATCTACATTAATCGCTGTCAACTCTGCACAGTCACCGTGGTAGAGTTGGTGTGGTGACAAGCAGCACCAGTTATTGCAACCACGGTTTGAGGATCAAATCCCGGACCACTCTCACCTAGGTAATTGAGACCAGGATCATCCGTGCGTTCGCACTATACGAACGAAGGAATAGCATTTGCGATTTTGGGAAGGGAGAAGGGGTCATGTTTTGAGGTTGAGCACGGTTGACCGCCTCTAAGAAAAGTGTAAACGTGATTATAAGAAAGGGTTTGTATTTGACGGGATTTTCGACAATTTATTCCCCCTCACTCTCTCCGCCCTTCCTTCCTCCCCGCTCGACCGCTCGACGGCTGTTTTGAAGGAAAAAGGTGGGGGGGGGGGTTGTCTCAGAATCAAATCGTATAACAACGGCCATGGTGGAGAGAGTACATAGGAATGCGTCGGGCGAGAGGCAGGTTGTAGGAGGGAGATAAGCCGGGATTATGAGGAGTTCTGTTGAGGCGACTGTGGTGTGAGGTCGATGGAGACTCTTGTAAAGGGAGTCGCAAACCTTTTTTAGAAAGGTGCGAAAGAGACGATCTACCCTGATTCAGACCTTACTTCCGTCGTGGCCAGCCCTTTGGTACCAAAGCGTCGGGGAGCACAAAACAAGGGCTTGTACATTAGCTGGTACTCACAAACCACTGTAATTCGATGCCTGCTTTACTTAGTCATGAGTACGCCTGCTGTCCGGGAGCCTCATCAGCACCTAAATGTTATGAAACACAAAGAGGCACCAAAATTATTTCAAAAGAGTCCCAAAAACTTCACAAAATATTCGAAAAAACTCAAAATTCCAAAAAAAAAAAACAGCAAAAAATTCAAATTCAAAAGAATTCCTTTGAAGTCTTCTGCCTTTAGAAAGAATTTATTTTGGTGCCTCTTTATGTTATATAACATTTAGGTCTTTATCTATGATTACTTCTGCTCTCGTCGAAGTTCACATTTGACATGTTGTTCGAATAATTCTGAGATTAGTTTTCACCTCTTCAGGTTCGCGATAAGGCGAAAGTCGGCTGACTCTTTTCTACTGGACCAGCTTTAGGCCGATGTCAGACTTTGCGAATCGCGCGATTCGCTAGCGTCCGCGGTCGCGTTGCGGTACCAGCCAATTGAGTGATTCACTGGCCGCGACGCGACCGCAGACGCTAGCGAATCGCGCGATTCGCAAAGTCTGACATCGGCCTAAAACTTTGATTTGCGTGTTGAATGGAAATAAAAACGTCTTGAAAGTGACTTCTCTCGATGTACAAAGGCCTCTGTAATAAGAGTCGTATGATTAAACATCTGACGTATTTTCCTATGATGAATTCTCAGCACGAGATATTACAGGCTTTCGATGCCTCTCTGGCGCAGAATGCTAGGGCACACAGGTGTAGCGAAGGCTTTGGCATGCGCGCTAAAGCACAGAAAGGAAAAACGAAGCCACGGTAGACAAAAGTTTAGGTGTGTGGGGAGCACAGACGAAGGAAGGAAGGCAAAAACAGCCTTTTGTGTTTCGGCTGGCACCGGATGCGATGTTGGGGAGGGGATGGGGTCCAACGGGTACGATAGGAGAGTACTGACGCAAGTGGTGCAGCTGGTCCAGCAGCTCCGCCAGAAGGGCTGGTTTGCTCACCCCAGGACTAAGCCTTGGAGAGGGGACGGACCCGTCCTCTCTTTAGTTCTGAGGTAAGCACCAAATTGTGGCGGTTCTAAGGACCGAGTTGAAGTGGTCCGTCCACCGTCGGGGACTCCATCCCCTCCCCAACATTCAGCATACGGTCCCAGCCGAAGCGCCAAAAGGGCTGGTTTGCTTACGTCGCAAGCATGCAAAAGGCCGGTACAAACGACCCGAGATCCAAATAGCCAGTGAACCAGATGCGGTCGCGAGCAGAAGGTGACGAGATTGGAAGACGAGATTGTGCAATCGCCTATGGGTACATTTTATATTTAGTCGGTACGCTTTCTGCCATCGATTATTATTTTCCTATATATCATACAATTTAGCCAGTTTGCAGATAGCTAGTAAATGCGATGGACATTTTCCTTTTTCCCTTTTTTCAGCCTTAAAGGCACAAGCCAAGCAGAAGTCGTATGATGGATGATTCCGCTCTCCTCTGTAGGATTGAGCCCCAGAGGAAAATCACAGATGGGGTTTCATGAAAAATCACCCACCAAAGAGCACTAAGACCTTGCAAGGTAGCTGCAGCAGCTGCGATTTGTTTTTTTTTATCAGGCCGTTATCTGGCGCCCTCTCGCCTCATACTCTCCCCTCCGCGCTTAGTCTCTCAATGCCCTTGCATAGCCGATTACGAGAGTGAGCAAGCCTTCAACCCAAGCGTGTTTGACGGATTCTTTCTCTTTCTTCTTTACTGCCGGCCATTTCGCATCGATACATTGGTATTCGTGTGCAAGAACCATACCAATTTGATTCTGGGACATGCTTTCAAAGGTTTCGATTTCTGAGATTAAGGTTTCCGAAAATATCACATCGATGTCGTGTAGGGATAACGGATAACAAGACATCGTTTGCGCAGCAACAGGCGTGCCAAGGGTCTCGAGCTTGTGTGCTACCGGCGCTGCGCTGACCGCGGTCTGCGCCTCTCGCGCAGGATGTACGCTCTCGCGATTTTCCTCTCCTCGCGGCGCTGAGTCAGTTCGTCACACTACGGTCGATCACACAAGTAAAATTCCAGCGTAGGCTCGTGTGACTGTGAGTACTGCAGCGAAACTTCAGTCGTTCATGCAGAACACCCAAGAAATTCGGCACTGTTTACCCTTTACTGCCCCAAACCTCAAGAACCAAGCCGGATTTTAATCGGAAATTTGTGCATGACTAAGCATTTGGCTAGAAAGCTGTCTCTGTGGGTATTTCAACCCGTAGAACACGAATATTTTGTCGGTTTAGCGCGAAAACGCCTGGCGCGCGCGCCCACAGACACCAACAGCTATCACAGTCAGTTTGGGCACGGCACGCGGTTGCGGCAGAATCAGGCTCATTCGTAACAAACTGATGTGATAATACTGTTCTATGGCTCTGAGCTACTCTCGCGAGACAAGCTCCAGGAAGGTGGGTCGAGCTTGTTTCTGCCACAGGTGCCCGACCTTTTGGTCCGGCACCTGTGGCACGGGCGCCAAGCGTTTCCGCGCGAGACGAATGTGATATTCGTGTGTCTGCGGGTGAAACTATCCCTAGAGACCATTTCTAGCCAAATAATTACTCTGTGGACAAATTTCGATAAAGATCCGGCTCAGTTCTGGAGGAGTGAGGCAGTAAAGGGTAAATAGTGCCAAAAAATCATCTGTTGTTCAATTGATGTTCGAGTTGCTCATGCCGCTCCCAGCATTGTGTGCATTCGCCCCTGTCGCGGAAGCACGAGTTTCAGTGGGTCCGCCGCCCTCTAGGACATGGAAGCCGTTTGATTCCTTTTAGCCGCTGTTGGAAAACAATGGCTGAGCATCCGCACCACAAGATATGAAAAAATTAAGCCACTTTCATTTAGAGTTCACTGGACGTGTAGAGGAATTCTCATTCAGCAACGACTCAACTCAACGACCACCTTAATATCGTTGAACGTGTTGGCCCACCCGACCACTGGCATGTGAGCAGATGAGGTAACGTCTTGCAATACAAGGAAAGTATACCATTTTATTGAGTAACGATAACCCCCTTAATATGAAAAACAATTTTGGAGACTTGTCAACAAATGGGCATGATAACGCCCACGTCCTTTAACGGAATAATGGCAACAACAACATCAACAACAAACAATCGAACAACATACAATTTACATACTGTAGGAGTACTAATTTGTATCCCGCTTCTCGATCATTCGTAGCTGTTTCTTCTTTGCTTTGCGCAGTTTCGCCGTATTTTTGATTACCTAAAAACCAAAACTAGAACCTATCTCACAGACAAAGGGTCCCAAAGAGTTAAGAGAAATAGTGGGGTATACCTGTACAACTTCGCCTTTTCTTTCGTTCTCTAGTCGACGCTTCTCCTGCTCTTTCTTGTGCTCTATCTTCTCCTAAATGAGTAGTTACTCCAGAGGCGATTGTCTAGCACCGACAAAATTCTGTGCTGACTTACTTGTTTTTCTTTAAGTTGACGTTCACGGATCTCCTGCTGGAGGAGCTTGGCTTGCTTCATTTTGGCTTTGTCAGCCATTTTCTTCTCCCATGATGACTTTAAAGGTTTTACTTTGATCACGGCGCTGTGTCTAAAAGGAATGGTAATGGTGCAATGATTACAGTTGAACGCAGTAACTAATCGTATCATTTTATCTCATTAGGGCTGAGTAGACATGTGCAAAATCGATTTCGTGGTTAATTTTTGCTAAAAATAGAAGCCATAGCCCTGAGGAACGCCAAACGTTTTTTGAAGTTAAGATCATATTATCAAATCCGAACTGCTCCTTTACCCGACTAGCCAGAAGAGAAACTCAATTTAGGAACTATGGAAGGGATCGAGATTAGCGCTCTTCAGAGATAGCCGTGTTTTTTCTGACTAGAGCTGCGAAACAAGTTTTTGCGCTTCTTCTTCTTTGTCACTACGAAGATTCGGAAGAAACTATGGTGAAGGTAGTGAGCCAAAGCATACTGTAACTCTGACCATACTCGAACAGCAGCGATAAGAAAAACGACGCTGGAGGCTTGTTGGTCACTAATAAACACGAAATTGATGATTTATGTCTTACAAAGCATTATTATTGGCTAGCTTTGTGTGTAATAAATGAGTAAATAAATGAATGAATAAAAATCTCCCCACAAAAGGGCTATTATTCCTCTCACTTGTCTTCATGTTTAGGTACGCAAAGGTAATATGCTTAAGCACGGAATCAATGTTCACAGTAACTCTGACCATTAGTAAGCAGGCAGAGCGAGGAACACTAATTCGCAGGTTTTGGTGACCTGTGGGGAAAAACTTACAGAGCAATAGAGTTTCGATTTGGGAACCAAGGTAGGCTATCTCAGACGAACGCACAGCTAGAACCCACATAAGCGTGCATGTCACTATAGCCTGGCAGTGACGACTTCTTTCCACCATCGCCCCGATTTAAGCATCCACCCTTGACTTGCGACACTGTCGTTTTTGTATCTTCCGGCGTCCACTTTGGGCGAGTACGCCGTTCGCGGGAAACACTCTTCACACTGTATTCACCCTCGATCGTTTGAAACCTCTGAACATGTACTAAAAGTAAAGCGAAACAAAAAGAAATAAGAGCGAAACAGAATAAAGAAATAAAATAATTAAAAAAAAGTCTCGCGACAAGTGTTGTGTTGTCTGCATGTACAGAATTTCTTTCTTTTCACGGCACGGGAAACTCGTCCGAATTCTCTCAAATATAGTCTTCTTTATTGTTATTAAGTCTCATTACAGGAACTGCAGTTGTGTTCTCATTGAAAAGGAACTGGTGTTCTCATCAAAACAGGCCGAAAAGATGCAATTGGTAAAACCCAAACTTCAATTGGGCATACTCTAAGTGAGCAAGTTTTTTACGCAATAGAACGCACCTGACGATGTGTCTCCCGCAGCCTCGCACGTCGAGCGGGAGTTTTCAGAATCGTTGCTCGGGCCAACCCGTTCGCACCTCAACCGTGAAGCTGTACTTCTGTGACTGAGTTTCCGTTTCCCTATCTTTTTTTTGTTTTGTCTTTTCAGTTCCTCGGTGTCTCCAATGCTTTGTAATGCGTTCTCTACATTGATTAACTAACCACGTGGAGCGTTAAAAACTAAAAAAAAGATTGTGTTTAAGCGGGTTGTGATTGCCGGTTTAAGATCGACGTGTGGTAGATGTGCTCAAGCGTAACGAAAGCAATGAGGTTCCTTCGTCGATGTCTTAGATAGCCACTTTACATTTTCGATGAGTTGCAAGTTAGCCATTAGTGATATTAGCCATCCCATGAAACGTCAAACATTTAATACAGAAGTTAATCACCAACTAACTCCATTCTCACATTAGGATTATACTCGGGACACTTCTCTGTTCTGAACCAAAGAATCGCTCGAATCTTCAGACCTCACTGCAACTTCGAACGAGACTGTTTTGCACCATGGATATCTTATTAAGACTGAACACGTTAAAGTCAAATTTTGACCGGGTTTCTTTTAGGTTATGAAACCGACTAAAGTTTTTCATTGGTAAACGTCATCGTATAAAAAACTAGTGTAGCTATTCACGGCGTTCCCAATTACTATTCACACGCTCTCTTGTCACAGGCATCTAAGGAACTTCGCGAGTGGTTCGTTACCATGAACAAAAATTGCCCGGAGTGATAGAATACTCGGTTGCATTAGTTCTTAAAGTTGCTCCAAATTAGGGAGATGCAGTCATAAATCTCTGTCGACATCTACTAGTCCTGTTAGGATCCTTCAATTCTCCAGACAGTGTTGACAGCGAATACCGCCTAACTTTGTGACTTTTTAGATCTCCAGCGTTTTTATAGTGTTTTTCTGAACTCTTCCATTCTCTAAATAAAACTTTTTTAGGAATTGAACTTGTAGCAGGATGGTTCGTGTTATCATTAAAGGTGGTGTTTGGCGTAACACTGAGGTAAGACAGCTTTTGTTACATTTCATTGTGGCATCAAGGGTATACCAGGTGATTTAGGATGAAATCCTCAAAGCAGCTATTATGAAATATGGAAAAAATCAATGGAGTCGTATTGCGTCATTACTTCACAGAAAGTCAGCAAAACAGTGCAAGGTATGCTCATGGCGTCCAGCTGTTTATTCATGTTTCTGCTTTTTTTTCTTGTTGTTTGCAGCAAATGTATGGGTTCCTTTTTTGTTGTCATATGCAGCGCTGTGACACATTATATTGTTTTACCGAAGCAAGCGTTTAGAATTTTGTTAATTTGCCCCTTAGGAGTCTTGCAGCTGCTTCCCTAATTAAAAACGTTGATTCTCAGGGTCAATGAAGTCGGAGCGCTTTTGTTCATTCTGGGAACTGCAGGGTTCAGTCACATTTGTTGGGTTAAGGAAAGGTTCTTGGGTGGTAAAATCTGTGATGTGCACGAAGTGAACACAGTTAGTGTGAGGTGTGTAGTATTGTCCTACAATCCATATCTCGAAGTCTGAATAGGCGGGTCTATGATTTTGACATGGCCTTGGCCGGACTTGATAGTTCCTAACATACCTCGCTGGATATCGGCGAAGCGTGCTCAAGGCAGCTTATCCGCGCAACTTTATCAAATGTGGCAGGCGCCAAGTCAAATCCATAAAGGCGCCTAATAAGACTTTGAGATATGGTCTGCAGGCTTGTAAGAGCAAGCTAGTTTATTGAATAGTAAACGGTGAACTGCAAGATTATGAAATGGAGAGTTTCAGACGGTCGTGTCGGTCCGGTGTCGATGCAAAGCCTATAAACAGGTTCATGCACTCTCAGAGTGTTCAATATGCGGAATTTACGGCCCCTTACGACATGGTTCTCTTTATTGCCTAGTTTTTCTCGACCCCAGTTTTTTCAAGTAGCATTTGTTTACATTGGAACGTGCGGATCCTTACTTCATCCTGCCTTTCGATTAGCCCCACTCCGCCTGCCTCAATAAATTGATCTCGGTGTGACAGGATGTTCGCGGTGATTCAGTTCAGAAGTAGAAGCGGCAAGGGCATCGAAAATTTCATTTTGAAGCCACAACCACGATGGGTTCAGGTAGATAAATCTTTTTAGTAGGTAGGATAAAGTTGCGAAAGTCACAGTATCCAGCTTTCCTGACTCTAAAGTGCGTAATGGGTATTGCAAGGTCGCATCAACTGCTTCATTTTTTTCTCGCTCACGGTATGCCAATGTCTGACGCTCTTCCATTCGTTGCTCTCTCGCCTATCCTCTATTCCTAGCTCTGTCCCTCATAGGCTTAGCGCAGCCGAACCAGGGAGCTGATCAAGCCCTTAGCTTCAGCATTTCGATGGGGTTTTTACTTTCTTTATTGCCAGCCGCATCGCACCAATACATCCATTTTTGTGTGCGAAAACCACACGATTGCGATCCTGGGGCCTGCCTTTGAGCCGCAGAGGACTCGGACATTGTCTCCAATTGTTCAGTGTTAAACCCAGCAGGCCTGAAATTTTTTCACAGTCGTCCTGCTTCGTTGGAAATACATTGAACCAACAAAATTGCTGTACTCATATCGCCACCTTGGAGTGGAAATTGAAATATCCCATTTCACTCACCTTTACTGATTTAGGCTTAATCAGGGTATCAAGTAGCGGGAGCTAATCGCTAGGTAAAAAAATATTCGAAACCATGCATCCCAGAATGTTTTTCAAGTGGCCCAGTCTCCTTTGAATTAACACATCGAAACTTGACCTTTTTGAAACCTATGCTGTGTTACTTTGTAACCTGAGGGAAGTCAAGGTTCGAAACTTTGGCAGACTTTGGGGAGGCTTCGCTTTGATTAATTTGGAAAGAAACTTCAACCCACAAGAGGAACTAGAAACCTTTCGAACTAGTTTATTTTAGTTAACAACATTGCAAACTTTTTTGCGAAGGCATTCGTACAGCTTTGTAACTCAGGCTCGATGGTTCGAGTGGCTGGATCCTGGAATCAAGAAGACGGAATGGTCTCGAGAGGAAGACGAAAAGTTGCTTCATCTTGCTAAGTTGATGCCGACGCAATGGAGAACTATTGCTCCCATTGTTGGACGAACAGCAGCGCAATGTCTTGAAAGGTGAACGCGTGTCGTAATTACTAACTAAACAGTAGCAATGATAGAATTCGAGCATTGACTGCTTCAAAATAAATCGCTGTTGAAAAAAAAATTTGCGCTCCCT